CCCCAAAACCCCAAAACCCCAAAACCCCAAAACCCCAAAACCCCAAAACCCCTCTGAAGAGAGACAATTGAATTTAATCTTGAAATTTTAGCTTTATGACTGGAGTAGCGCAAGTTGTCTTTTGAGAGTACTTCTGTAATTCTCAAGGAATTTTACTCTTTCTTCATTATAGGATTTGGACTTGAGCAGTCTAGCTAGCTTTCTTTGATAGAAAGCTCCATATGCACTTGACCATTCCCAGTCTTCTTTGTACCTGAACCAAAATACCATTGATATCCAGGTATAGAATGCACCAACTAGATATGTTACGGGCTCGATATCATCCCATCCATAAACTCCATAGATAAGATATGCAAATCCACCGACTTGGCCTGCTGCCATTGTTACTCCAAACATAATCATTTTGCTTGCAAAGCTTGCGGCTCTGCTTTCACATTTCTTCTTCATGGGATAATAAGTTTCATGAAGCTCCTCATCAATCTTAAGTAGCTCTTCTCTTATATTTGCTAGCATTTCATCTTTCTTCTCTGAATTGTAGGCTAGATAAAATCGTTAATTTTGGATCCACAAACCAAATTAAAAGTCCCTTGAGACCATTAAACTTTCAGTTAAACAAACTTACTCTTCTTTGCTTTATCAATAGCAAGTTTGATATCAAGCTTGCTTAGTTCCTTATCAGGAAGATCGGTGAGGAGATGATCAAGGAACATTGAAACAAGCACTCTCCTTACTCCTGTGTATTGATTATCCCCTAGGATCTCATCAATTTTCTCTTTATTCTTGAGAGTAACCATAGTTGAGATATCAGGATGGACATGGTACACCTCACCTTCAACGCTAATGTCAAATCTTTTCTTAAGAAGTTCATTAATGTCTTCATTATCATCACTCAAAACCTTAACTTGTTTCAAGCCGTCTTCAACAGAAGCGTCGATTGTCTGACCTCCGCCTATAGGCACCTTCATCCTGGTCGGATGAGTATTACTCAGTCTAATAGAGTTGCCCTGGATTTTAGAAAAGGTTGAGAAAAGTCTCTTAGAATGTCTTTTGACTATAAATCTACTCCACATTTTATTTTATAATATTTACAGAAGATCCTATTTAGAGTTTTTAAAAAGGGGTTTTGGGGTTTTGGGGTTTTGGGGTTTTGGGG